CAGAAAGCCACATCTTTCTGTCACTTAGTACATCATTTGCCCTGCAGCAGACACCAGCTACCGCAGACACTGAAGCCGTCTGTCTCAGGTTAGCACTCAGGCCACAGTGTGTGCAAAGGTACAAAGAAGGCGGATGTCCCCAGAGTGCCTGGCTCCCAGTCTTCCTAAGTTACCTTTCGTCATTCAGAGTCTAAAGGAAACTGGGGCTTCACTTCGTAGCCAGCCCCCTGCAGACTGCAGCGCAGGGCTATTGCAGAGGAGGTGCTGGGTAAACATCTGTTGAAATGTGAGTCATGAATAAATGAACGGACAAGAACCCCTGGAAGGCACCTCTCTACCAACCAGCGAAGTTGCTCTGCCGGTCTCTCCTTTGGGTTAAAAATTCCCCTTAATACAACGAAGGTCTATCGACACAGCCTGGCAAGGGTTCTTTCAGTCAGAGAAGGAAGGACAAGCTGGTGGAAGGGGGGTGTAGGCCAGAACCAGCCATGTCCTTTCCTCCCAAGATACAAGTATACTAGCTAGGGACATCAATCAAGGACATCCAGCCAACTACTGAGTAGAGGCCATTCCCTACCTGGCTGGGCAGTGGTAGCACACACCTTTAATCCCAGCACTTGGGAGGCAGAGGCAGGAGGATCTCTGAGAGTTTGAAGCCAGCCTGGTCTACAGAGTGAGTTCCAAGGCAGCCAAGGCTACAGAGAAACCCTGTCTCGAAAAACAAAAACAGAAGGCATGCCACCTGTAATCCCTGCACTAGAGAGGCAGAGGCAGAAGGATCAGAAGTCCAAGACCAGCCTCAACTACACAATGGGTTCCAGGATATCCTGGGCTACACCAGACCCTGTTTCAAAAAAAGAAAATGAAATGTATATCACCTAGGAAAGAGAAAGACTTTCACTGTCCATTCTGGACCAAGAAAGAGGCCAAATTAAACTCCCCCCTCTGACTTTGTCAAATCCTTCTAGAAATGGCCCAGATGCCGTACCCCATAACTCCTTGTCAAGCACTTACTTCCTCAGATGAGAACTGCTAAGTACTGAGAGGTGCTGTTGAAATGTGGTATGTGTGACATGTGTGAACCTGGGGAGGAGGCACCCGCAACTTGAGCATCGTGGTATCAAACCATTAGCACCTCCTAACCCAGGATTCACAGCCTTGGCTGTGCATAAAAAGTCACCTAGAGGAGCTTGTTCAGACATATCTGGCACTGCACACACCTATTCTGGGTCAGTGGCTGTGAGGTGGGGCCCTGGAATCTGCATTATTCAGAGGCATCCACCAAGGTGGGTCAGACAGCCCAGACATCCTTTGTAGAGACTGTCTTTGAGAGTCTATGGGGGAGAGCAGATTGTACGCACTGAACCTTGCCGGGGGCCAGTTCTGCTGTGGAATTGCCCACACCAGGGACATGACTGACTAGGCTTGGACATACCAACTGCTTAAATACCACCACTCCCCACCAGCTGGTCCTCAGCACTGGCGAGAACAGTCATTTCTCAACAGGTTTCCTGTCTGTCCTCACCTGGTCTGGGCAACAGACAGAGCAGCTGACTGCATTCTCCCAACAGAGAAACTGAGGCAGGCACATGGCATAGGATGAAGTTTGCACCAGGGAGACACAGCAGGAGAGCCTACTACTAGCCAGCGAGTGTGCTAGGCATCCTCTGCCCAGATGCCCTTTTCCTGAGGTAACTGAAGCACCTCCCAGGAAGTCAGATCCTCAGTGGGGGTGTGGGAGTGGGGGGGATGGGAGCTTTAACTGAGCTTTATCTCAGTCCTAAGCCATGGGCTTTCCAGAAACTGGACATCTCTCTTGACACCACCTCAACACTTCCCCTTCGTGGGCCCCACCCCATGTCAGCACAGCTCACTGGTGCTAAATTTAGACTCAGAATGGATCTCCATTCTGCAAGCTGCCAGGGCCTGGCCCACACACCACGTTTCTTCAGTGAGTATCTTAGGCTTCCCTGGCTCAATGCTTTGTAAGGTGGGACCCCTTTACCACTTCTTCTAGACTTTTCTCAAGACCTGCTCTTCCAGAAAGCCCCTTCCTCAAAAAGTCAAGAAGCCAGTGGGAACTGATCAGCCCCTTCTCCATCCCAATCTCCCCAGGAGCCCACATGTCAGACTTTGACTCAAAAAGAACACAGGGTCAGCGGGTCATTGGTGGCACACACCTTTAGTCCCAGCACTCGGGAGGCAGAGGCAGGTGAATCTCTGTGAGTTCCAGGCCAGCCTGGTCTACAGAGCGAGTTCCAGGACAGCCTCCAAAGCCACAGAGAAACCCTGTCTCGAAAAAATAAAAAATAAAGATAAAACATAGGGTGAGGAGTCACTATACCCAGGCTGCTGTGCCCAGTGCCACTGGCAAGCTCCTGCCCACCTGCAGCCTCACTTTGCCTGTCTGCGCTCACCTTCCCTTGCTCCTCACTGAAGGAATTGTGGAGACTGTCCTGCTCTACTCTGATACCCATGCTGCCGCACAGTCATTTCGTGACACAGCCTCCTCTGGCACAGAGAAAGTCACAGTGTGCCTGTGGAAAGGACTAAGCCCCTTTAGTCATCCTAGAACCACACCCTGACGAGGCCAGGTGCCTCTGTCCCTGTTAGACTCTCAAGAAGGCTGAGTAGGCTCTCCCAGCTCCCAGACTGCCTTGCCAGTTCAATGCCCGGTAATCTCTGGAGCTCGGCCCCTTCGACTCCATCCCCGCCCAAGAAGCCTTGTGAGGATCCTGGAGTGCAACGTTTTACCTGTGCAGCCATTCCAGCTCTGTAGGGGTGAGGAAGGGAGAATGGAAACATTAAAAAAGAAAAGCTGTATGTATTGTTTGAGAAGGGATCTTGTTGACTTGCCCTGACTGGTCTGGAAGTCACTGGGTAGACCAGGCTGCCCTCAAACATGTGGTAATCCTCCTGTCTATGTTTCCTTGAGTGCTGAAATGAAAGGTCTTAACTGCAGATCTCAGCAACCAGCAATCACCCCATGCTATTCTCTGTGTCTGGGCCTCGATTTCCTTAGCTGCAAAATGGGAGCAAGAACCTCTGGCTCCATGCCAAACAGGAAAAGAATCAGTGAAATGAGGACTGGGGCAGGTGACACAGACAGGTGGTCACTCAAGCACAAAGCCAGGCCCAGAGGAGCAGGCTGTAATCGTTACTCAGAGCTGAAGCAGACGATCACAAGTCGAAGGTCAGCCTGGGCTAAGGTAAGCCCAAGGCTAGCACAAGCAACACAGTGAGACCTGGTCTCAAAATAAGAGCTATAAAGAGGGCTAGGTACAAATCCAAAACCAAAACCAACCCCAGACAGAAACAGCTCAAGGCGCACTGGGCAACTTATGGAAACCGAGGGCTGGAGTGTGGCTCAGTGGTAGACTGTGCCTAGCATGTGTTCATTCACAATTCCACAAGGAAAGAAAGAAAATGAAAAGATGAGGGAGAAACCACAGAAGTCTCCCTCACTTTTTACCAGTGAATCCAGTCCCTTAAAGGAAGAAAACAAGGGTGACATTGTGAAGTCCCTCACATCAGTCATCCTCTGTGCTAGTGTGGAACTTCATCACATTGCTGTGAAATCGGAATTAGTCCCATTTCACAGATGATGAAACTGAGGTTCAGGGGCTCAAATGACCGCGCCAGAATGATGCAACTAAAAGGGAGGTCCTCTCCTCTCTTATCTCTGGTCCTCGCCTTGCATAGGGTTCATGACTCAATATAGAAGTGATTCTCAACCTTCCTAATACTGTGACCCTTTAATACAGTTCCTCATGTTGTGGTGACCCCAAGCCATAAAAATATTTTCATTGCTACTTCATAACTGTAATTTTGCTACTGTTATGAATTGTAATATAAATAATCTGTTTTCCGATGGTCTTACGTGACTCCTATAAAAGTCGTTGGACCCCCTCCTTCCAATGGGTCGCGACCCACAGGTTGAGAACCTCTGCACTAGAGCGACGTAAGTCAAAAATGATAAGCTTCTCCCACATGTCAGTGAAAACCAGAGTAAACAGGATTCCATCCACACCAGGCCAGGGCTTACTGGAGACGCACCTGTGCAAGCAGCAGCCTGTCCCAGCACAGCTGTTCTCAGAAAGCCTGCAACGATTTGTTTAGTTGTCTGGCCAGGGGGTCAGTCATAGCCCCTGAGGTGTCTCCTCTGACCAGCTTCCCTCTCCCAAGCCTGACCATGTCCTGGTCTAAGTCCTCACCCAGCCTGTCCTTGTGGGTCTTTCAAGCCACCCCAGGGCTGAATGAGGCGCCCAGCCCAGGCCACAGAAGCTCCTGTTTGCGTGTCACCTCAGAGGAAGGGAGCAAACTGTCCCAGCAGTGACCTGGTACAGCCTAGGGTACACGTGTCATGCATGTAAACAGCCTGTTCCTGTTTTCCTGGGAGGGTAATCCTGTGGGCCGCCCACCTGCCTCTGCACAGGAGGGGGAGTTTGATGAGTTCATGTCCACATCCCTAAATGGCTTCTTCGGCTGCGGGTTCTGTTAGTTGAGCACAGCACGGAAGACTGTGTCCTGGACATCCTTGAGAACATGTGTTTCTTGGGTGTCTGTGCCTACTGGGGAGGTGTACCGTGCCACAGCATCTGCCACCACTGCATGTGTCTGTAGCATGTAACTCAATGGGTGACCATTTTCACGAGGGTCTCTACGCACGTTTGTGTGTGTTTGCAATGCCCCCACACACCTGCACATGTCCTGCAAGAGTGAATGCAAACCCCACCACCACCATGACTGGCACACGGGAGAAAGAATGGCATGCGAGTGTTAAGTGAGGGAAGGTTGAGGGTGGCCCTGCGCGTCTCCCGCGTGTGTGTGCGCGCGTGTGTGTGTGTGCGCGCGCGCGCCGTGTGAGTGCCAGTGAGTGGTTGCTCTCCTGGCTCGCTCGCTCCTCGCTCCTTGCTCGCTCGCTCTGCGCCCGCCAGCCCGCCCGCCCGCCCGCGCGCACAGCCCGCACACTCACCGCTTGGTTGCTGCCGGGTGACGCGGGCTGGGCCCGCCCCCTGCTGCCAGCCCCACACTCACTCGCACCAGCCGCCGCCAAGCAAGCAGCAACCGCGTCAGAGCCGTCCGGGGGCCATGCCAGCGATGCCCGCAGCCCCCGCCGAGCCCCGCGGTACCCGCTGAGTTGCCCCCGGGCCAGGGTTACACAGGCGCCGAGCCGGGCCGCGCGCAGCGGCGCTGCCTGCATGACCCTCCGGCGGCGCGGGGAGAAGGCGACCATCAGCATCCAGGAGCATATGGCCATCGACGTGTGTCCCGGGCCCATCCGGCCCATCAAGCAGATCTCCGATTACTTCCCCCGCTTCCCGAGGGGCCTGCCCCCCACCGCTACACCGCGCGCCACCGCGCCCCCGGACGCCCCCGCGCGCCCACCCGCAACCAGCGCCGGTCCCCGCAGCCCCTCCGACGGCGGCCGCGACGACGACGAGGATGTGGACCAGCTCTTCGGAGCCTACGGTGCCAGCCCGAGCCCCAGCCCTGGTCCCAGCCCCTCAAGGCCGCCCGCCAAGCCCCCTGAGGACGAGCCGGACGCCGACGGCTATGAGTCGGACGACTGCAGTAAGTTTCCCAGTCTCCCGCCGCGCGCCCCCTCCCCGCACTGGCTCCCCGTAGGGCATGCGCCGCTGCCGCCGGGCACACCCGCACGCGAGAGCTGGGAAGTTTGGGGGCGTCCTCTGGGGGCGCCCCGTTTCCAGGCCTCCGCTCCCCTGAGCGTGCCCCGCACCCCTTCTCGGCCCGCGCGCCAGGAGCTCCAGCGCGGGCGGTGGCTTTTGTTCCCGGGAAGGGCGGAGCTGCGTCCGGGGAAGACACCAGTTGCTGCGGGCCGCGCGGTGGCTCCCGGCCCCAGAGCCCTCTGCGAGTCGCCCGGAGAGGTTACCGGGCGAGCTGGGGACCTTGTGGTGACTAGGGCGGGCCACCGGGCCCGCAGCGCGCTGCAGCTTTGCTCGTGTGCGGGCCGTGGAGCAGGACCGCGGGCCGCTTGTCCTTTGGAAAAACCTTGGCGGTTCTTCCTCCTGCGTCCACAGACCCCACCGCGGTGCTGGCCCTGGCCGAGGACCTTCCTCCACCTGTTACGCCGCCTTCCCCGGGGCAGGAGGGTCTCCAGCCGCGCCCTCTCCTTCGGGACAAAGCCCCAGGGAAACAGCGGACACCAGAGCCTCCCGAGCCAGGCCAAGAGCACTCCTGGCGTCTTGTGTAGTCCGTGAGGGTGCCTGGCCCGGCCCACCAAGGACCATCCAGGAAGTCAAGGAGGGAAGAGGTTGCAGCTAGAGTCCAATGAGTTTACTGGGGGTGGAGTGGTGGTCGCTCCATGAAAGAGCCCCAGCCCAGCTGTGACTCCAAGCTGATTGATTCACTTAGATCTCAAAACCTAGTCATGGGCGCTATGGGACTGTGGCATAGTGCCAAGGCAAAAGCAGCCCCTCCTGGGTGCAACACTGGTGGTTTGTGCGTGTCCTGGGAGTTCTCCCGGGCCTCTGAGCTAGGGCCTGACTTTTCCCCAGCATTAACATTTGTCTCTGAAAGCTGAGGTTCGGAGTTCACAGTGCCACCCTGGAAACAGACACCTCGTTTCACTTCAGGGAGCCCATCAACAGAGGTGGATCAAGCCCTAGCTAGGAACAGTGCCTCCTGTGTGTTTCTAGGCCTGGACCTCCAAGCATAGTGGCTGGGGAGCCTCACCCTCCGATGTCCTGCAGACTTCGGAAAACTGGGTGGGCATCATTTATTAAAGTCTGCAGAGCTGTGCCCTGGACTTACTTCCTTGCCCAGTTGCTGGCACTCTGTGCGAGGATCCAGGCTGACTGGCCTCTGGGGGAAGGTTCTAAGTAGGACCGCAGTCAGCCCCTGGGGGATCCAGAACCATCCTGGGAGGAAAGGATAGGAAGCAGTCCCCATTTCCAGCCTGACAAGGCACAGCCAGGGGAGTGAGCAGATGCATGAAGCTTGTGCCTGAGCTGCAAGCCACACTCCAGGTGCCACAGAGGCCCGGGGATGACATAGCCAAGAGGGGAGGAACCGAGTCATTTTGGCTATCTTGGAACCCACCAGAAAGAATAAAGCAAACCAGAAGCCCCATCTCCTGATAGTCAACTCCACAGTGTTTTCACAATACTGTTTCAGCGGGGCGTGTTGCAATGGGAACCATGTTGAGTCTGTGGGCTCAGCCACAGGTAGCCTAGCTGGGGCCAGGCTCACATGAGCCGAGTCCTAGATGCAGTTTTCTCACTGATCCTGGGGGCTGGCCACACCCAGATCACTGTGACATACTAAGGAAGTGTGGAGAAGAGGCCTGGAGGCTGCAGAGCTGAGGAAGTGAGTATGAGGTTGAGGCAGGAGGCTTGCATCTCATCGGGCTGAGAGCATGATAATCGTAGCTTTCATCAGTGAGGAAACACTGAGCAAGACCACCCTGTACCTGGTACCAAAGGCTGTGCTCCCTCTGAGCTCTGACAACCAGATCCCTTAGAATAAGCCTAAGTGATTCAAGCCAGATGGTTCATTATGGCTTTAGCCAGGGTTATGCTATTTGCTGCTCTAATTATTGGATTATCTGTTCAGACAAAAAGAAATGAGGGCGGTTGCTCTGTTGTCCAAGCAGAGGATAAAAACAGCCTGTTTACTTAGCCCTGTTCTCCTCTTTAAAAACCCTTCCTTTGCTGGTTACCTCAAAGTGTTTGAGCATAGGCACACGAACACACACACACAGACACACACAGACACACACACACACACACACACACACACATTACATTCCCTGCTGAGCTTAGAAGGCCAGTGAAAGAGACACAGCATCCCCCTAGGCCTCTCCTTCCGATGGCCCGAGCTACCTGCTCTCCATCTGCAGAGGGAACCCAGACCCCGAAGCTACAATGACTAAGAGGCTTTGGGTTGCAAGTACCATGAAATCAATTCGGAGAAGCTCGGCCCAGCAGGGCAGCAAAGGTCCTGCTGCAGACACCAGGGTACACTGGATCAGCCCTCCAGCAGCCCTGGTGACAAGGCTTCTGTCAGTCCTTCCAATCAGCCAGCTCTTTCCTCTTGGGCTGAAAATCAGGGCAGATTTCCTATTCCCAAGGGCAGATGGGTGGAACACCAGATGTAAAACATAGTCACAGTGATGTTCTTACTCTCCACCAGCTGAACAGGACCCTCATGATCCAAGGTGGCTGCTGTGGGTCCAGGCATCACATATAGCAATAAGGTCCTAGATTTGATTTTAAATATTTTTTCTACTGTCATGTTTAGGATCCAGAAAATCTCTCCTAGAAGTTCCCAGGAGGCCTGTCCTTTTGTCTCATTGGCTAGAATTGCATCACGTGTCTGTTCCCAAATGACTCACTCAGCTAGGTCAGGACAGGTGCCCACAGAGGTCTGGAGCAAGGTGGAAGTGGAGAACCATTGTTGGGTCTGCCTGGAAGGTTCTCCTGGGCATGGGCAGACCCTAGTTACTGGTTTATGTGGCCTCTTCTGTCACCCAGAACTTCCGTGGGCCTCAGTGGTGTTCTGGCCAGACATCGTCATATTCTTTCACATTCAACAGTGCAATACCACTGTGTGTCGGGCACCGTACGGGGGTTGCAGAGGGTCAAGCATGGGCTGGACCACACACAGCCTCTGGTCTTGGGATGCTCTCAGAAACCCAGCAAGAGGACCAGCAGTGAGGGATGGGAGGCAAACATCCCCAGAGGCCACTGCTCTGAAGCTGGGGGAGGGGAAGAAGGCTAGCGGAGTGAAAGGGGGTACTGAGGGGCAATAAAGGAACCAACGTGTAGGAAACACGGACAAGGGAAGCATGATGAGGTCAAAGTGCGTGGAAAGAAAAGCTTACATGCCAAACCAAGGCGGTCAGAGCTTGTCTTGGTTGCGGTGAATTTTTGAATGGCTTGAAGCAAGGGAGTAGAGATGCCGAAGTCTGAGCTCTGCCTCCAGGCTCGTGAAGCAGATGCGTATCACTTAGTCCTCTGCATCCCACCCACAGTGCCTACCAAGTGCAGAGCCTGTTTCCTCACCTATGAAGCTTCCAAACCAGGCTCCATAGCTTTCTATGACTTCTTACCAAGTAAGAAAGGTTCTTGGGTTTTTTGTTTGTTCATTTGTTTTTTGAGACAGGGTTACTCTGTGGCTTTGGAGGCTGTCCTGGAACTTGCTCTGTAGACCAGGCTGGTCTCGAACTCACAGAGATCCGCCTACCTCTGCTGGGATTAAAAGCATGCGCCACCACCACCCAGCTTTTTATTGTATTATTAATTGTGTATTGTGATGTGAATGGGTGCGTGTGTGTGCCGCAGCATACATGTAGAGGAGTTGAGTTTCCCACTTCTATGAGTATCTCAGGGGTTGAACTCAGGTCATCAGGCTTGCAAAAGTAAGTACCTTTACTCACTGAGCCTCCCACAGGCTCCAGGGGAACTATTGTAGAGGCTGATGGTTTTTCTCCCAAATACAAAACAAAAAGGACTGATTTCTGATTCCCAGGGTTGAATGGGCCAAGAGAGTTCAAGTGCAGACCAAGGCCATGGCCAGCTGTCTGTCTGCACAGGCCCTGCTGGGAAACACTCAGCCTTGGAGGAAGCAACAGGGGCCTGAGCTTGTTTCTCTCTGAATTAGCCCCATTAAAGCGCTATAATTATCAGCAAGCTGGTGACAACTCTCGGAGGCCCATTAGTGACCAACCTTCATTATTTTTCCAAAGATGTAAACTTTCATCAACTGCACGTGATCTGAGTGGCTCTGAGGGCAGGGCCCTCAGGATCCTGGGGCTCATAGAAAGGCACTCTCTCTTGTCCTTTGAGCCCTGCCATTGCCCCCACCATCACCACTGTCACCCTGCTCAGGCCCTTCAGCTTAGCAGTGAGTCCCCACCCCATTGCTGAGGCAAGAGCCCAGGGCCCTGTTCTTGGGAGATAAGGGCTCTCCTGCTGAGCCCTGCCCTCCCCCCTCTCCCCAGCTGCAGCTTCAGGACCTCAGTTACACCAAATGGTGAAGAAAGGGTGAATTTTGGGTCATGTGTCCCTAAGGCAGCTCCTCCACTCATGCAGTTTCTGAAAATGATGACCGAGCTTCTAATGACAAGGTAGAATTTCTTTTCGGACTTCAGTGGCACTAGACATTTATCAGTCCTTTCCTGGTCACACACTGGGCACACTATTTCTTCACTGGTGGTGATAACAGATGTTAGTGTCCCAAGAGGCATGTTCCCTGACTTGTCCTCTGGGGTTGGGACACAGGCAGACATCACAGAGTGTGTGCTGTAACATGGGGTATCACACCAAATCCTTCCTACTGGGAAGTAACTGGACGGCAAAACCATTTGAGTAGCTCCACCATGAGCCCTGACCATCTGCTGGTCCCCCGTTGCCTGCGGTAGTGTCCTCAGGGTGAGGTCATCAGGAAGCAGGTAGCCTGAACTGGATGGCATGCAAACTGACTGTCATGTGAAACCATCAGCTCTGCAGAATGATGTTGCAGAAGCCCGGCTGGGTGACTGCAGTAAAGGTAATGGTGCTTTGCAGCATCCCTACCCTCAGGATGCTCACCTGCAACATCCTCATCCTCAGTATCTTCATCCATGGTACCTCACCTGCAGCATCCGCGCTCTCAGCATCCTCTCCTGCAGCATCCTAACCCTGAAGATACTTACCCTCAGTCTCTTCACCCTCAGTATTCCACAGCATCCCAACCCTCAGCATCCTCAGTTCTGGTGTCCTCATCTGTAGCACCCTCACCCACAACATCCTCACTTGCTCGCCTGTTGGGAGAGAGCTGCTCTGGCAAAGGCCCCAGTGTGGTCATTGCTAATGGATGCATTTCCCACTAGGGGAAGATACTTGCAGCTTACTCCAGACCTAGGGACTCTTAGTCTGAACACAGTTCTCACTGTTATTACCTGGCTTACAAAAGAAAGAGCTGTTTGTGCTACCAGAGGTAGGAGTAGAGGCAGGAAAGTGAGGTGGAGCAGTCACCTCACATCCTCTGTTTGGCTGTGACTGTGACCCACAGCAGAATCCTTGTAGTCATAACAATGACTCCACTTACACAGAAATGATTAAGTGACCCTTTCTATATCAAAGGCAGGGAGAAGGTGATCCAGTTTAGGGTAGTCCCTTCCAGAAAGTCCTTAGAGAGGCAGACTCAGAGCTCTGAAAGCAACATCAGAGTGTGTCTGCTGTTCCCATAACCACATGCCAGGAGGTAGTCACAGTGTCTTCAGGGTGCAGATGAGGAAACTGAGGGAAGCTGTCCGAAGTCACACAGCAAAGACATGCTGAGCTGGGATTTGAACCTGTAGAGTGCAGCAGCAGATGGCATCCTCCACACTCACAACTGCACCCAGGAAAGAGACAAGACCATCACCTTGTTGGGATGTAGGGAACCTGACACAGTTCCACATGTATCTCAGAACAAAGAGCCCTTGATGTGCCCACTTCCGTCCAGACACAAAGGCTGTCATGTGGCCTGCCTTTGTTACTAAAGGCAGGCACAGTTCAGGTGCACGTTCACTCAGAATCCACCTAAGATCCAGTGCCGCACCCTGATGGGGACAGGGCCCAGCCCTTCCTTCATCCCAACACCACTTCAGCCATCAACTCCATCTGCCAGCTGCCTACGGTTATGATGGCCCCTCCAAGTCCCTCATACTACTGGCAACTACTATCCGCTGATTCCTCCTGTCTCGGGCGAGGCATCACTTCCTCCAAGAAGCCTCCTATGATAGCCCAGTGCACACTGTGGCTCAGAGTCCCTTTTGAAGCTCTCATGGCTCTTGGTTCACAAGACAATGATGTGACCTGTCCAGAAGTTGGGAGCAAATCAGGGGTCTGGAGCTATCTAAGAATGTGTATCTTGCTGTCTGGGGACTTCAAAAGTTTCCCTCACTCAGACCCTGGGAACCCTCAGGACATGGCAGGCCACAGCTGCAGCAAGTGACTGTTCCTAAGGTGGCAGCTGAACCCAGTTATTGCTGCATTCTCTGCCTGGCCCTTGGGGCTTATTGATGATCGAGAGAGAGCAGCAGCATGAGGACCCAGCTGGCTTGTCACTGCCCACTGAGGATCTCTCAGGACCAGGGAGACCAGGGAGCTGCAGTGTCACTTGTCACCTGGGGCTCAATCAGCAGTCAGCCACTCAGACTGGTCAGGTCCTGCAGCCTCCGCCTGTCCACTGCCTTCTTATACCACTGTGTGTCGTTGCTTGTGTGAGGGGACTCAAGCCATCTGGTTCACAATAGCACACTATGGGACAAGACAGACAGTGCAAACTGAGGTTTGAGAGCCTCTTTCTGAGCCACCTACCTAGTTGTGATTGTGGGGCTTAGGTGATCCACCCAGAGTCCCTGAACCTCCTCATCTAACAGTGGCAGGATGTTGTCCCTCTGAGGGTTGAGTGTTTCATTGGGAGAGATAGATAAAGAAGTTGGCATATTGTAGCTGCTCCGTTGTCAACAACCATTGAGCTGAATACAGTAACATTCTTTATTGGTTAACTTTTCTTGCTGGGATTTGAACCTAGGGCCTCTACTACTAAGCGGGATTCCCCAGCCCAGAAGTTAGTGAATAGCACACCCCTACACCTTCACCTGTTACCTGGAAAGAACAGTTATGCTGGTAACACATGCAGACTTTTGCTGTCTTTGGTAGAACTTGAAGTGTTTGTTTTATTTTGCAGTGTCTAGGCCAGTGATCTGCCCCTGAACCACACTCCTGTCTGCATCTTTGCTTTATTCCTGAGGCAGGGGATTGGCCTAGTGATAGTCAATTTGAACCTGTGCCTCCACCCTAAGTCAACTGCCAGTGCTCCTCAGCACCTTGGATCTGTCCACTCCCTTAAACTCCACACAGAAGTCATATGTGTAATTTAAAGTGGATTTAGGGCCATCTCTGTGTGGTTCTGCTAAGCCTTGCTGTAACCGTATTTTTCTTGCTTTATCTAATTCCAGCCATTTAGAAGCAAAAATGAGTTTGCCTTTTAGTTTGTGCAGCATCCTGAAGACAGAAGCTGGACACAGCTAGTGTCCGTGGGGGCAGAGACTGTCCTGTTGGGGTTTGTGTCAGGGACTGTCACTTGTGCACCATAGGAGCGTGCCAGGAAACCAGCTCCTCCACAGACTCACGTTCACACTTTCTTCTTTTAATTATGTATTTGCTCATATTTATTTTATTCGTATGGTTATTATGTCTGCATGTACATCTGTGAACAAATGTAATCCTGGTGCCCACAGAAGCCAGAAGTGAGAGTCAGGTCCCCCGGAACTGGAGTTACAGACGGTTGTGAGCCATTATGTGGTGCTGGGAATAGAACCTGGGACCTCTGGAAGAGCACCCAGTGCTCTTAACCATTGAGCTGCCTCTCCAGCCCCCCCCCCTCCCCCCGTGTTCACATATTCTGAGGACTGTGATAAGACTTATTTACCTTATGGTTCTTCTTCCAAATAAACTGTATTTATTTATATGTTTATTTTTGAGACAGGATCTTAGTTTGTAGCTATGACTAACCTGGAACTCGCTTTGTAGACTAGGTGGGCTAACCTGGAACTCACTGTGTAGGCCAAGTTGCCCTCAAACTCAAAGGGATCTACCTTCCTCTACCTCACAAGTGCTGGGACTAAAGCAGACACCACCAAATAAATCTTTTAATCTTGAAAGCAGTGTGACTGTTGGGCCAGCGAGATGATCCTGCTGCCAGCTCTGGGGGCCCGAGTTAAGGTTCCACACCCCACGCGGTGGAAGAAGAAAACTGCAAGTTGTCCTCTGGCCACCACATACATATCCTGACATGTATATGTGCACACACATGTGCAAATACACACACATCAAGTAATAATAATGCAGCTATTGAAGCCACGGAGGGGAGGGTGTTGCTCCTCCCCTCCAGCTAGCGTGTGACCCCCATCTCCTTCTCCCATAGCCGCCCTGGGTACGCTGGACTTCAGTCTGCTGTATGACCAGGAGAACAGCGCACTGCACTGCTCCATCAGCAAGGCCAAGGTAGGCCCTGTGCCAGCCGAGCTCCAGCTTCAGGACGGGGGCGGGGTTCTGCCTGTTTTTTCTGTTCAGCTTTCCTGGTGTCCCGGCTATGTGGGGTACAGCAGCCCACTTCCAAGACTGGTCCTGCCCAGTAAAGCATTTGGGGAAAGGAGTTTCAGAAAGAGACAGGGTGGGAGCTGCAGAGGGCCAGGCAGCTTCTAGAACCTGGGAGGGGTCACTGAAGAAGTAGAGGGCCTGTCTTTCAGTGTGCGTGGGGGTGGGGGGTTGATTGGATGCTACCTTCTCTGGATCTTCCCACTCCAAAGTTCTAGCCCCCAGGCTCCCTGAAGCCCCTAAGCAACTACTATGCTGAAAGTGCAGGTGCCACCCAAGAGAGCTAGGCCCCAGGCATGGTGGGAGCCACTGGGCCTGAGCATCAGAGGCCCTGTGAGCCTTGCAGAGGGGAGTCATGGACATCTGCAGACCCAGGGTGACCTGCTCAGGTCCTGTCCCCTGGTCTCCCTGTGGATCTGCTCTTGAACCTGTGTCTGTTGCGTGTTCTCAACCTCACTGTTCCCTTCACACTGCTCCCTCTGGGAGGAAGGTGCCAAAGTTGATGTTTTCCAGAAAGGTAAGGGCCCATGTGGCCGGTAGAGACCCCAGTAGGGCTGTGGAAGGGCCTGAGCCAGCCCAGCACACATGGAGTAGCTTCCAAGTGCTGCCAGGCCTAGGCCTCACCCAGCAACCCTGACCTGCAGCATCTTTCTGAGCCCCTTTCCCACCCACCTCTGCTCTGTGCCTGCCCAGAGGGACAACCCACGACATACCCCTACTCAGCCGGGGTCACTCATGTGGACGGCCATGGGCAAGTGTAGTGTGCGAACTGTCTACACTGGGCTTGGGGCCCATGTTGGGAACTTGAAGGCCCAGTCACCAGTCACTTGACCCTGTGTCTCTGCCCACTCCGCTGGCACCTTTAGGCTGTGATAGCCTAGAGAACAGAGAGGAGCTCCTGGTGACTCCAGCCTGGAAAAGTGGAGACGGGCTGCAGGACCAGGCGGAGCTCCTCCCCTTCCCCCTGGCTTAGCAGAGCTTGTCCTTGCTTGGGGACCAACTGCCAGATCACTCTAGTGACACCCCAGCTTTTCCTCCCCGTTCCCAAAGCCTGGGGTTCCTGCTGCCTTCTCCCTGCTCCAGGTGTGTGTGTGTGTGTGTGTGTGTGTGTGTGTGTGTGTGTCTGTCTGTCTGTCTGTCTGTCTGCGTCTGACTGTCAGTCTGTCTGTCTATGTGCACAGATTTACATGGGTTCTGGTGTACTCAGAGGTGGGGATCAAAGGCCTCTGAACTGTGGTGGTCCTGTTCTTCTCTGTATATGTCTACGAAAAAAGGGAACAGGCCTGGGAAATACTGGGGCCCCAAAGGGGATCCAGAGTGTAATCTGAAGGGGGCTCATAACGCAGAGCCTCTTGGGGAATTCATGGGATATGGACTCCCCAGGCTGCACTCTCACTTGGTGTCAACTAATTTTCTGTTGCTGTGATAAAACACTGACCAAAAGCAACCTGGGAAGGAAAAGGTTTGTTTCATCTTCCTGCTTGTAGTTTATCATCCAGAGAAGCTTGGGCAGGAACCTGGAGGCTGGAGCTGATGCAGAGGCCATGGAGGGTGCTGCTTACTGCCTTGCTCCTCCTGGCTTGCTCAGCCTGCTTGCTGTTTTTTGGTTTTTGGTTGGTTGGTTTTTTGCTTTTGTTTTGTTTTGTTTTTTTCTTTTTGTCTTTTGAGACAGGATTTTTCTGTGTAGCTTGTAGACCAGGCTGGCCTCAAACTCACTGCTAGAATTAAAGGCTTATAGGCATATGCCACCACTGCCTGGCAACAATGTTATTTCTTTTTTTGTTTTTGTTTTGTTTTGTTTTTCAAGATAGAGTTTCTCTGTGTGGCTTTGGAGGCTGTCCTGGAACTGGCTCTTGTAGACCAAGCTGGCCTCGAACTCACAAAGATCCGCCTGACTCTGCCTCCCTAGTGCTGGGATTAAAGGTGTGAGCCACCAACGCCCGGCCATTACTTCTTAATTGTGATAAAATATCATACACGTGAAACTTAGCAGCGGAATGCTGAGTCCACCCAAATGGCTGTGTTCCCACTGTCCATCCCAGAGCCTTTTCAGATTGCCAAACTGAAACTCCTTGCCACAGACAGCTGCCTGTCTCCCCTTGCCTCTCCTTGCCTGGCCCAAGCTGCCCCTCCTCACTGTCTCCAGGGACCTTGTAGGTACAAAGTCATACAGTTTCTGACCCTGTGCACCAGGCCATTTCACCAGCTGGTGTCTGTCCCTCTTCTTCGGGCTGAGCACTGACAGCCTGTCATGCTGCAGGGCAGACCCCAGGACACATGCTCTTTACTCTCTAGGGTGAGGAACTGGGGAAAGCTAGCTGGGCCTGAAAGGCCACCATCACCAAGGCACACACACTGCTCCAGGCCAAGCCAGCTCTGGACCTGGCTTAAATCCCCACCCTTACCCCAGCTACTTCTCTGATACCTTGGGTGGGGGCAGGGGAGGAAAGTTGCACCCCTTAGCCCTGCAGATGCATTTCTCCTTGCTCTGTTCCACTCAGACTGTGGAAATGGTCTTTAGCTGTGAAGTGCCTGGTCCACTAACTAGGAAGTGCATGGGCTGTGCTGACTCCCAAACCTGGGCCTGGGGCCACAGCAGAAGAGAAATAACGGGTGGGGCCCTTCCTGGAAGCTCCTCCGAGCCCATAGAGCTACGCCTGGGAGAAAGGTCTGGGGCTTCTGGCCAGGAGCTGAGCCATCTCTTGCCCAACCGTCTGGAATGTAGGCATGCACACCTCTACTGCTGCCCCAGCCCTGTGGGCCTTCACCACTGAAAGGAATAAAACAATTCCCAGAAGGCTAGCTGAGGCCCTTGTGGGTCCCCCTCCTGTGGGCTGTGTATTCCTGGGCTGGCAACTGAAATCAAAGTTAGCAAGGAGTGCCATCTTGTGGGAGGACCCTCCATGGCAGGCAGCCTGTGACTTCTGGGCATATCAGCTAGCAAATGCCTAGGGGAATGGCCATCTCAGACTTAGAACAGGATACTTTCCCAGCTACCACAAGGAACGTGAGGATGAGTGTATAGCCAAATCATGGAGACTTGGGGCCAGAAAAGGAAGCCACGACAAGGAGTGGTGTCCAGAAAGTGGGAAGAGAGACCAGACTCCCCAAGTTCAGAGTGAGGTGTGTCGTCGGGGTTCAGTTGTCAAGAAGGTATAAAGTGAAAGGGCCTGGGGACAAAGTGTGGGAGAGGGGAGCTTAATCCAGCAGTGTTTGGTCTGGGGAGATGTCGGAGGAGGCCCAGGCAGCAGGCCCGTGTGTCCTTGTTCTCAACTCCCATCCTTTTCTGGTCACCGCTCAGGGCCTGAAGCCGATGGACCACAATGGACTGGCTGATCCCTACGTCAAACTACACCTGCTGCCCGGAGCCAGCAAGGTGAGGGTTTATGCCCCGAACATGGCACTGACTTGGCACTCATGGCCTCCTGGGACCTCGTGAATCCATTACCTATCTGCTACATGGGCGCCAGAGAATGTTCAGGTTACTTTTCATATAAAGCCATTTTAGCCTAAGCTTAATATTATATGGGGAGGGGACGGACTCTATGGGGTCAGGTGTGATGGTGTACACCTTTATTTGCAACACTCAGGAGGCAGAAACAGTCAGATCCCTGTGAGTCAGACTGCTCTACATACATAGTGAAATCCAGGCCAGCCAAGGGGTGCATAGCATCTGCCTAAAAAGGAAATACTGTTAAATGTGTTTCTGATGGCAGGACCTGTCAGAGCTTTCAATGTGCTGATGGGCCATTCTGTGGCTTCATAAAGAAGACTGAGTAGGTAGCATTAGCCTGGTTTATTTGACCATAGAACCCCTGTTCCTACTCCTCTGCCAGGTGGCCCAGCAAGCAGATGGAAACACAGAGGCAATATTCCACCCACAAGGCTTTCCCTAAGAAAACATAGATCCCAGGCAAAATGAACAGCCTGAGTAACGGGGATATCAGGTGACTCTGGAAAGTGGTCCAGTTGTACCACTGGCTTTGGGACATGGCCAGTCTTGATAAGTGACTCTTTTTATACTGGGGGGCAGCTTTGGTTAAGCTAACTCCTATCAAGTTGGACACTTCAGCTTCCTAATGGGAAAGAGTTAACATTCCCACCCCATGCAGAACCATCCCATAACCATCACCTCTACCCTGCTGTTGTCACCAGGGCTTGGGGTCAGGATGCTCCTCACATTAGCTTTCTGTGGCCACCTCAACAAATTCCCACAGCTTAGCCATTAAAACACACCATCACCTACCTGTTCCATTGGTCATCAGCAAGACAGGTTGCACTGGCTGGACCAGAAGTCAAGATGCCATCCCGTCCATTCTGGGAACAGTCATTTTCTTTCCTTTCTAACTAGAGGCTGCCTACTTCCCCTGCTGAGGCCCCTGACCTGTGTCTGAAGTTAGCTGAGTTCCCAGCTGTGCTGGTCCTGTCTCTCTTGGCTATCTTTTGCTGTCAAAGACGTCTGCTACTGTAGGGGCCACTCACATGCCTCCAATAAGCTTGCTGTTTTTAAATTAGCTAATTAACACTGTCAGTTTCACATTATGCCTCAGGTCCCCTCCACTGGGTCAGACAGTGTTTCCATGGGTGGAGGGAGCAGGCTGGCCAGATTTTGGGCCGTACTCATTCAGGACCAATAAGATGACTCTCTCTTTTTCCAGGCAAATAAGCTCAGAACAAAAACTCTAAGGAACACTCTGAACCCCACATGGAACGAGACCCTCACTTATTACGGGATCACGGATGAGGACATGATCCGAAAGACCCTGAGGTGGGTGAGGGCCCCTGTGCCTACACCCCACCTGGGGACACCCTACCACTTACGAATTCCCACTGACTGTGGAAGCCAATCGCCCCCAGGATCTCCGTGTGTGATGAGGACAAATTCCGCCACAATGAGTTCATCGGTGAGACTCGAGTGCCCCTGAAGAAGCTGAAGCCCAACCACACCAAGACGTTCAGCATCTGCCTGGAGAAGCAGCTGCCGGTGAGTGGAGGAAGTTTCTAGCAACCCCAGCCAAATAAATGAGAGTTTACTGAGCTCAACTATGTGCAGATGTTCTAGGCACCATTGCAGTGACATAGAAGAGACTTGCTACCTGTTGATGGCACAGGAGCAGGGCTAATTTGTAGAACAAAGAGCACAGTGGAGGGGGCAAGCCTAGAAGGGGATGTCACAGAAGTGGCAGGGAATTATTTCCCCTTCCTTAGACGTTGCTAAGCCAATGTTACGATTCCAGTGGTGCTGGGGTTAAGTCTAAGACTTCATGTGTGTAAGCAAGCACTCTTCCACTGAGCTATATCCTCAGCCCTTTTAAATTTTACTTTTACAAATTGTAAGTGTAAAACTGGATAGATGTGTGTACGTATGGGCCTGCATTCATCACGGAGTGTCTTCCTCAAATGCTCTCCATCTCATTCTTTGAGACAGGGTCTCCCACTGAACCCAGTGCTCACTAACTGACCTGGCTAGACAGTGTGCTAGGATTATCCTGTCTCCCCCAATGATAGGGTTACAGATTTGTGCCCAGATTTCCAATGATTATGGGGATCCAAACTTACACTTGACTGACTGAGCCATCTCCCCACCCACTTTTAATTTTCATAGGAAAGAGTCTTGCTCAGTTCCCCAGGGTGGCTTTGAACTTGCTCTGTAGCCCAGATTGGCAGTGAAATCTTGATCCTCCTGTCTTAGCTCCCTCAGTAGCTAAGAGCACAGGCCTGGGGCTGGAGAGATGGCTCAGCCGTTAAAGGCTAGGCTCACAATCAGAAATATAAGAGCACAGGCCTGTGTCACGAGGCAGGGCATGGCGGTGCCTTAACAGGCTCCCTGCCCTCTGGGCTCAGTATGGCCAGAAGCAAAGAGAGAGGGACGTAAGGGCTGGAGTCAAGAACCAGATAGAATGGGGCCAGTGGGGACAAAGGCCTGCTGCAGGGCAGTTCCGGGTCTGGGGCCTAGGGCACAGATGGAGGAGGGAGCCATTCACTAGGAGCATGTTAGGTGGGGACCACCATGAGACACCCAGAGGATAATTCTTTCCTAGACATTGTGCGTGTTCGGCACCATGTCAGCACTAATTTGGCCCCAGTTGCCTTGGCCTTCAGCAACTGAGCCCTCCCAGAGTCTTGGTGTCTGCATTTTTCCAATCCCTCTTGTGCCCACCTTCTCTCCTCACCTGTCCTTCATCTGGCTTACAGGGGCTGAGGGGCAGAGTCAGGACCATGAGGGGCTAAGCCCTCCACCACCTAATGCTCTGGACGTGACTGTCTCCCCAAATCCTGAGCCAAGGGAACAGCAGTGAGGAGAAAGCCTAGACTTTAGCCCCTGCACACTAGGCTTGGCAGGGACTGGAGCCTGGGACATGGCCACTCAGCAAGCTAGGCCTAAGCCTAGCCCTAGGAATACACCCTGTAGCTGAGACACTGCCGTTGTACGAGCCTTTCTCAGATTGTATTCTCATGTCATTCTCTCCACTCAGGTGCATGTGTAGTGGTAGAATTTTTGCTGATATAATGTATTAGTCACTTGCCAGGGGTGACCCAAATTTTCCAAATGGCCCACCTCCCAGAAAGGCACTACCAGCTCCTATGGTACTTTGTGGTCCTTGAGTTCTGACCTCAGATATAAACAAGACTGGCAGGGAGTGGTGATACATGCCTTTAATCCCAGCACTTGAGAGGCAGAGGCAAGTGGATCTGAGTTCAAGGCCAGCCTAGTCTACTGAGTGCGTTTCAGGACAGCGTGGGCTACACAGAGAAACCTTGACTTGAAAAACAAACAAAAACAAAAACCCAAGACTCTCTGTGAACATGAATGCATGAATGAGTAGGGAGTGTATGTGCACACTGTGTGTAAGTGTGTGTACATGTCTGTGAATTTGGATGCATGTGTGTTGTGAATATTCCTAAGGCATACTTTGGCCATTGCTAAGGCCCCCTTGAATTTACTATGTTGCTCATTGGCCAGCTTGGAGATACCACAGTGACCACAGGGGTGACATTCATGATAGTCACTCTGGTTTTAAGAACACATTTCGGTGGTTTTAGATTTTATACTCAACATTACTTATTCTACGTAAATACCTGTTCAGTGGTGGTCAAATGAAACACTCTAAAGTATGATCATGTCATCTGCCTTTGAAACCATCCCTGCTCACATAGACTCCATGCAGAGCCCAGAATCACACACCTGCATTGGTCATGGCTGTCGAGCATTGGGTTGAGAAGGATTCCAAGGCTGTATTTGAATTCAGGGTGAACGCTGGGATCAGTTAGGCATGAAATGTGGAGAAAGGCCTGTGGGTCACAGGCCTCCCTTCCTCGCCTCACAGGACTCTCATCTCCAGGAAGGTTTGGACCTGGCCACATGGGGACTCCGGGTCAGTCCCAAGCAGAGCACAGCTGTAGGCAAAGCTGAGCCTATAAAAGAAGAACCTGGCAGATCCTGAGGAGGAACCCTCAGGGGACATGGGCTCCTAACTGTGCATGTCTGGATGACTTTAGGGGATGATGGGAAGGAGAAGACTCCAGCTGTCAGGACATGAAGGGGTGGGATGTGGAGGCCCAGAGCTAAAGTTTCACCCTAAAGTGGGAGGGGCTGGGCGTCTTGCCACAAGGCTCCCAGCCAAGGGGCTCGGAAGATAGCAAAGCTCTGTCATTTAAGCTGTTGGGGGGGAACACCCTGCAAAATTTCTGGGAGTGTGCTAAACTCAGCAAAGACGTGGAGGAGGGCAACAGCTTAGAGCTGAAGTCCACAGAGCAGGCTTGAACGTGAAGAAGGCAGAGCAGGCTGGGGGGGGCAGATTTCCTACCCAGGTGGCAAATGCATCAGGCCCTGCAGACCAGGCCGTCTCTGTCACTACCACTCACTCCTGCTGTAGGCAAAAACAGCTTCGGGAGAGATGTAAAGTGGGTTCCACAGATCTCTGTATGCCCAAGCCTCGCTGGGCATCAGCAAGTAGACACTAGAGGAGTTAGGTTGTGGACGGCCTTGCTGCTTCCGAGAAGGTGGAAGCAGACAAGGACAGCAGAGTGACCACCCTCTCCTACAGGTGGACAAGGCAGAGGACAAGTCCCTGGAGGAGCGAGGCCGCATCCTCATCTCACTCAAGTACAGCTCCCAGAAGCAGGGCCTGCTGGTGGGCATTGTACGCTGTGCACACCTGGCTGCCATGGACGCCAACGGCTACTCGGACCCCTATGTGAAAACGTGAGTGTGCCCAGGCCTGTGCCTGGCTCCGCTGCTCCCCAGGAAGAACTGGAGTGCTGCATGGCTGGAGCCCAGCATAACAAGCACTAAGAGGGCTGCCTCAGCAATGGGGCTTTGTTCACCACGGTGTTTTCTTCCGTGTGCCTTTGGTGACTCGGAGTTGAGTGCAGCCGTTCCATTTCATAGGTGGGGAAACTGAAGCCTGCAGAAGGATCACCCACCAGGAGAGAGAACTGTCATCTCTTTTTGGTGACGGGGGACATGGTCACATGTATTCCAGGCTGCCTTTGAATTTACTGCGTAGCCAAGGATGGCCTTGAACTCCAGATCCTGCTGCCCCTGCCTCCTGACCACTGCAGTTGAAGGTGTGAACCACCACACGTGGACATGGGCACTAGAGATCAAGCCTAGGGCCTAGGGGTGCAGGTCACTAGTGATCCAAGCTCACAACCGAGGAGGAGGCAGGGCCAGTGCTAGGAGACTAGGGGAGCTGGCAAGAGACCTTTGCCAAGTCTTCCTGTGTGTGCCCAGCCCTGTGTGTACCCTCCCTACCACTGACAGCAGCACTAGGGGCAGACACTGGCTAGGGTTTGTACCAGTGGCCTGGGCCCTGCAACAGTAGACATAGCTGGGTTAGGCTGCACTCAGATCCAGGAGGCAGGCAGAAGCTGTGGCCTTTCGGAGAGGAAGGGGACAGTACCACAGAATACACCCTCAGTGCTTGGAGCTCTTCACCAATGGTGTGTCATCTGGGGCCATGGGGACACTCTGCAGAGAGTAGCCTTGGGGAAGAATTCAGTTTGACGCACAGCTCCCTATAATTTCAGTTCCAGGGGCTCTGACACCCTCTTCTGGTCTCAGAGGGCACTGGGTGTATACATGGTGCACACACATACATGCAGGTGCTCACATAGACATATAAATTCTAAAAATCTAAAAAAAGAAAAAAGCTTTCTTCTGAGCATGTGCAGACTTTTCCTTGTCATTATTCCCTAAGCAACAGAATGATGGCCCGTATGCAGCATTTCAGTGGCTTAGGTATCACACATGATCTAGTGACTACTCAGAAGTCCACGGCAGGCTGTCTGTGCGGATGCCGGCTCATTTAAAGTAAGGACTTGGGGATCTGCAGATTGCCCTGGACCCCTTCTTCCACAGACACTGAGGCCCACCGCACTTCCTAAATCACACAGGGCATTCCTGAGTGAAGACAGGGAGGCTTGGAGCAGCAGGATTGGAAGGTCAGTGAGTTTGTCACCTCCACCCGCCACACTCCGTTTCTCTTCAGACAGAAATGAGATGCGGAACCATCATGGCGTGAACCTTCTAAATTGTGTTCAGCGCCAATCCGCTGGGTGAACTCCAGCTCCGGGTCATGTGAAGGGTGACCCAGAACCTGGGGTCTCCCTTTGTGCTAACTTGGGCAGGCAAACTGAAACCCTAGCAGGATGCCTCCACAGCTTGGGGCTGCTCCCTGCCACTGGGACCGTGTCAGTACTTATTATCTATTCTGAGTAATGACAAGGAAAGGCTGGAGAGGGTTTGTACAGGTGAAATTTCTTCCTTTCTTTTCTCTGGGGGTGGGGAGTACCCCAGGCAGACCATGAACCCATAATCTTCCTGCCTCAACCTTCTGAGAACTGGAATTCCAGGCATGCACCACCAAATCTAACCCTCAGTTGATTGAATCTGAGGGTCCAGGACCAGCGGGTACAGAAAGCCAGCTGATTTGCTCTTGCCCCAGAAGTAGCTCTGGGCATCTGTCTGTCCTGTTGTCTGTCTATCCCACGAGCATCGCCTTTCCCAGATTTCACATGAAACATCAGATGGATTCTGCCTCAGGCCGGGCTTCACCTGCAATGAGTGATTTGTCCAAGGTTTACCCACACAGTGTTTACACTGGAGACTCCATCTTTGATACGGCTGCAAAGCTTTCAGCATGCATGTAAAGCATGAGTTTGTTGTTAATCAGTTTGCCACTTAAAGGGCATGTAGGTTGTTTACATTTTGGATGATTGTGTGTAAAGCTGCCACTAACATATAATTCGTAAGCCGGGCAAGGCTGTGCACACATGAAATCCCAGCACTTGGAAGGCAGAGGCAAAGGGTAGGGAGTTTAAGGCCAGCCTGGGCTACACACTGAATACCAGGGAAGCCAGACTATATAGCAAGACTATGTCACAAATAACAAACCCAGAAATGCTTACTGCTATACATCTTAATTTCTCTCCCTTACCACCAACCTGTGTTAACATGTACTTTGTAATCTTTGTTTTAACAAGCCAGTATTGTGTATCTAACAGAGCCTCAACTTGAAGCTGGATGTATGGTCCCATTGTAATACTAGCACTTAGGAAGTGGAGGTAGGAGGATCAGGAGTTCAGGGTCATCCTAACCATCCCAGGAGACTAAAAAAAAAAATGCTCATGCATGCGGAGGTTAGAGGACAAATTATAGGAGTCCTCTCTCTCCTTCCACTATGTGTGCTCCAGGCAGAGAGATCAGGGGAGTGTCCACACTCACACAGGCGTGCTTGGGCAGCAAGTGTGAATCCCCTACCTGTAGACAGACTTTTCTGTCCCACCAGCCAGCTCCCAAATAACCACACAAACACTTTTTAATAATTGTTAATGTTCGGCCATTAGCTTAAGCTTGTTTCTAACTAGCTCATAACAACCCATTTCTATTAATTTACTTACTGCCACATGACTCATGGCTTGTTACCTCATGCACATCCTGCTTCCTCTGCGTTTGGCTGGTTACTCTGCCCTTCTATGTGTTTGTTTATCGTTGTTTTTTTTTTTTTTTTTTTTTTGAGACAGGGTTTCTCTGTGAAACAGACCTGGCTGTCCTGGAACTCACTCTGTAGACCAGGCTGGCCTAACACCTTTAATCACAGCTCTCAGGAGGCAGAGGCAGATGGAGTTCCTTGTCTCTGAGTTCAAGGACAGCCTGGTCTACAGAGCAAGTTCTAAGACAGCCACAGGTACATCGAGAAACCCTGCCTCAGGGTGGGGTGTGGGGGAGCCTAAGGAAGGAGAGGTACAAGTTCTGCCATCTGAATGGAGGAGTCATTCCTGATAACTGCCAAAAGAGAACTTTCCACGAGGCCCCAACAAAGGAGTGATGCTTGCCCAGCACAAGGGATACGCTGAAAAACCGAATCTTATACCTGAGAATAATGGAGTTTGTGGTGTGTGAATTCTTAATAAATTGGGGGGGCATATTTAAGCTCTTAGCTCTTGGTGCTGGGGCTGAGAACAGTTTGTAGAGCATTTGCCTTATATGCATGAGATCTTGGGTTCAGTGTCAAGCACTGCAATGTCCCCCATCCTCCCCACCCCCTGCTAAAACAAAACAAAGATGACAGTTCCCACCAGGGACAAACTTTGCTTTCCAAAATTGGATTTCCTGTGGGGGGTGCGAGCTGTGTTAACGGTCAGATGTCTAGGGAAAAGACAACACCCTCTTCTGGGGATGCTGGTGTGCTTGGGCAACTATGCAGCCGCCTCAGTGTTGCCCACGGGTGGGCACACTGGGGACTCCAGGGTTAGGACAAAGTAGCCAGGGATGCGTCTCCAGGGCAGAGCCCCATAGCAGCATGCTAGGACTATCTGCAGTCCCCAGCTTTGCCCAGCCTCTGACTGTCCCAGTTATCATTCCAGATACCTGAAGCCAGATGTAGACAAGAAATCCAAGCATAAGACCGCAGTGAAAAAGAAAACACTAAACCCCGAGTTCAATGAGGTATGGCCAGGCTGGGGGCGCTGGGCTTCATGAGGGGCTGTGGGGCTCCCCTGGGCTGGGTGGGGGTCTGGAGGGGCCTGGTTTTCAAAGGGGCACTGTAGGAACTGGAAAGTGGTAAGAGAGGATGGGGAGCAGTTGCCAGAAAAGCCATCAGCTGTGGTGGCTAAGACTCCACTAGACTGTTAGGCAATGGGGAAACTCATGGGACTAAGGAACCTTCTAGAAGGTCTTGTTGATGGGGGAAAGGGTGAAAAGAGAAAGTTGAGTGACTCCTGGGTTCCCTTCTAGATGACAGGGTTGGGAAGGGAGATGTGAAGAAAATAGGGAGACCCTTTAGGTGGGATGTGAGAATTCAAGACACCCCAGCAGGTGTGAATACAGTCAACAGAAAAACCACAAACTTACTGAAATACTGTGGGACTTTTTGCAGTTTCTTTTAGAACTCAGTTGCACAGTTCTCATGCTTGAACTTTGTAGATGAGAAGGCCATGGCACAATGCCTAAAGGGCACACAGGGCAAGTGTGTGCCCAGGTCCTCAGAGTAGAGGGCGGCACCCAGACTTGGGGGTCTTCACTTAGTAGAGCTCCTCAGGCCTGGCTCATCACCAAGGACTCAAAGGCAGAGGGGACAGCAGGTGCTTGAGAAGCAAGGCCAGCCCCAGAGGACAAGGGAGAAGGATGGCAGGGACTCTGTGTTGGACAATTAATTGCAGCCAGGGGTCTCACAGCACCTGGGAGCAGCTTCTGGGACAGAAGGGAGGGAGGTTGGGGGTGGGGCTGGTTAGTCCCCATCAGGCAGAAGCAGGCAGACTAGCTAGAGGCACACTGACCACTCCCGCCCTTCAGCACATCACAGACCCCTCTTGGCCATGCGGCCTTGACTCTAACTCCCTCTTCTGGCCAGCAGGAGTTCTGTTATGAGATCAAGCATGGAGACCTGGCCAAGAAGAGCCTGGAGGTCACTGTCTGGGATTATGACATTGGAAAATCCAATGATTTCATTGGTAAGGAATACAAGGGAAACGCTGCTTAGTCATGTGCCTGTCCTGGGCAGATATATGGGTCCAAGAACCACTTGTCCATAGTGAATGGGACCTCAGACACTCTGGAAAATGTACTCACATGACAAGAGACAGGCCCAAAGAGGGAAGGAGGCCTGGGAAGGGCTCACAGCAGTTGGTGGAAGACCTAGAATCATGATGGTCAGCACCTGGGGCTGGATTCACAGCCCATGTGACCACAAGTTCCTGGTGGGTGTGACATTGGTGCACGGTAGGCCATTGTAGCCCTTTTCAGGCCCTAATATGTGTCATGGCACCCTACCCCACACTGCTGTGGTCCCTGGTAGAGGAAGACTAAGACATTGAGTCCTGTGTCAGGTGGGCAGGGTGTGGCTGGAAGCCAGAAACTGTCCGCCCACAGCTGGGCAGGGGGGAGGGCCCAGACACTGGGTCACTGAATCTCTGGCCTCTTCCGTAGGTGGAGTGGTTCTGGGCATCAATGCCAAGGGCGAGCGCCTGAAGCACTGGTTTGACTGCCTGAAGAACAAGGACAAGAGGATTGAGCGCTGGCACACACTCACCAATGAGCTCCCAGGGGCTGTGCTCAGCGACTGACTGTCCCATGTGCCACCGCCCACCCATGCCACCCAGCCCACACAGGCCCTGCCCTGGGCTTTCTCAGCTGCCATCAAGGGCTGTGGCCCTCACAGTGCCCAAGATCCAGGTTGTCTGCTCGGACATAGCCACTGCAGCCCCTGCTTGGAGGCCATAGAGCACCCAGCCCCCCAGTCAGGAACAGGAAGACACAACATTGGACCTGTTTCAACCCCCTGGGGCCCAGGAGAGCTGGAGCTGGGAAGACCAGCCTCAGCTCCGCCCAGAGGAAGGGCTATCTAGGGTGAGGACCTATTAGAAGTGAGGGGTGGAACACCACAGAAGTGGGGGTGCTCTGGCTTCCTGGAGGCCACAGAGGAAGGACTATGGGCAGATGGAACCTAGGACTGAGGACAGACAACACAACGTAGCCAGCTGGAGTTTCCAACTTACTCATGCCTGGCATTGGTGGGCAGAAGAGTCTGAGCTCCCTGCGTGGAGTCCCTGTCTAGGAGGGAATCTGGGTGTGCACACTGCCACAAAGGGTGAGGCGTACAGGACCAGCCGGCTGTCTACGGGGCTGTGGGTATTGCTGACTGCTGGAGGGTGGAGGGCAAGGAAGGCATCTTGGGGGGAGTCAGCACTCAGCACAGCCTTGAAAAGCCAGCTGGGCTAAGAGAAAGCCACACAGAAAGTAGGGAGCCTGGGGCAAGGTGCCAGGGACACGGACAGGAGCCGTGGGGATCTAGGGTTGTTCTGGGAGAGCATTAGGTTTTTAGGCAGGAGCTGGGCCTGATATGTACAAGTACTATAGGGAAACAGGTTGATGGTTCAAGCCCAAGCTCTCCCACGTGGTCTTGCTCCTGTTCTCAGCAGAGGTCCCTTTTCCTCCGCTTCAGGGGAGATAGAAAGGGACCCTGCTAACATGAAAAGAAGCAAGTGTCCCTCTAGCCCGCCATCTCTCCCTTCCTGGTTCCCTCAGCAAGACTCCATGACATCGTGGACCTGTCAAGACAGTGGGTTGCCTTCAGGTATAGCAGTGGAAGACAGAGCCTTGTTTGGGGGAAGGGGTGGGGGCAGGGCTTCTGCCCCAGGAAGCTGAGAGCTCTGGCCTCTTTCTGGGATACGGCAGGACACATCTCAGTCTTGATTCCCCAGATGTCTCCTGCCACCTGGGGCTCCAGGAAAACAGGAGGAATGGAGGGCTAAGGAGTTGCACCATCATCTCAGAGCCCCGTTTTGTTCAAGCCATCACTGGGTAACAAGGCATGGGGGTTCTAAGAGGAAAGATGCCCTGCTCTAAGCCCAACACCCTCCTACAGCTAAGACAAGGACCCAGGTCATGACTCTAGGCCAAACTGCTCACCAGCCTTCTCCACTTGGCAGGGAAAACGGGTCTCTATCCGGCTACCTGTTGCTTACAGAGACTGGGTTTCCCGCTTGAAAAGCCTATGCCAATGTTACTGAATTGGCCAGCACCTTCATATTGAATCTTTGTCGGCTTGTGTGGTAGGTGGCCTGGCCAACCCATTTTACAAATGAAATGGTCTCAGAGAAGTTGATAAACTTCTAAGACCACCAAGCTGGAAGGAGCTGAGGCAAGACTTAGCCCTAGCTCTTTAACTGTTTGAGGGTGAGCACTCCTTTCCCTGCTGAGTGGCTGGGCCTCGCCCTCTAGCTGGCTTTGAAATCATCTGGGCCATTTAGGGTTTGCCAAAAGACCACAGCCAAGCCCTGGAACTCAGCTGCCCTACCCCCAGCCTGGAGTCAAGGCTGGTGTCTTCCCAATATAGCTAGAAATGGGAGGCTCTGGGGTGCCCCAGGAAGGTATTTCAACGCACCTGGTTGAGCTCTGAGTAATTCGGTATTTGCCCATTCGGATGCCCTGTTCGGAGTGGAGCCTTCTGAAGATACACAAGTCTTTTAGACATGAGGTGACCGAGGCCCAGCAAGAGAACAGAGCTCAGGTGAGGCATGAACCTGGATCCCTCTGTTACCCCAGGCAGTTAAGTGGGATTGGGCCTCAGACCCCAGGGACAGACAGGGTGGGAGACAGGGCTTCAAGCCCGTTGGCTCACATGTGAGTGCCCAGGCAAGAACCCACCAAAAAGTGGTGGAATTTTCCTGGGATCCTGGGGCATTTCTAAACCTACAGCACATTGCAGGAAGGAAAAGCCTTAGGCGGATCTCTGTGAGTTCGAGGCCAGCCTGGTCTACAGAGTGCCAGGACTAGCTCGAAAGCTACAGAGAAACCCTGTCTCAAAAGACCGAAAAGAAAAAGCCCTCCGAGAAGTCTTGCTTCTGGCTCATCAGCGTTGCAGAGGGGAAATTTGATACCAAAAAACAAAGGTCATTCCAAAGTTGTGTCAATAACTAAGGCGCCTTCTGAATCGGCATCCCCCTCGCGTCCTGGTCTCCACCGTGCCCTCCGCCATTAGCCAACCCCACAGCCCCAACAGTCCCGTCTTCCAACTCTGAGGCGGTGACCTCCTGACCTCTAGTGGCGAGAACGAGGAGCTGCACTCAGTGGCCGGTCCTGGCCAAGCATGTCCTTTGTCCTCCAGCCAAGTGAACCTCCCGATGCATGGACTCTGGCTGTCGTCGACGCGGACTCGTGCACTGCTTACGATTTTGATACCACGTGACGACTGCAGAGTACGTCCTCAAACTGCAGCGCCACGACACAATTTTTGTACTTTCGTCTGACCTTCCCGAAGGTGTCCTTTTTAAGTCTTCTTTGTTAATATTTATAACGATATATAATTCAAAGTAAATGAGAACGTTGTACTGCGATCGCACTAGCCCGGGAAACTCCTTGGAAGATCTGGAGGGCACAAGGGGAAAGGCAACTGGGGCTTACATGTCGCATGTATTCTTTGTTTTTTTGAAATGGTCTCACTTGTAAATCCAATTTATGGTGATCCTCCTGCCCCTCATTTACTCCTCACTAAGGTCCCATTTGAAACAGGCTCGTTACAGATGAGGAAATCGAGGCTCAGAAGTTAGAATGCATGGGACTGATCAGTTGCACTTGTCACACAAGCTTTAGGACCTGAGCATGATTCCCGGAACCCAAATTTAAAAAGGCAAGATGAAGCCAGACAGTGGTGGCAGGAAGGTGGATCCAGAGGCAGGTGGACCACTGAGTTCGAAGGCCACAGTGGTCTAGAGAAAGCGAGTTCAGGACAGCCCGGACTACAGAGAAACCCTGTCTCGAAAAACAAAACAACCAAAAACAAAAGAAAAAAAGGGCAAGAATATTGTCTGGTGTGGAACACACCTTTAATCCTAGCACTCTGGAGGCAGATGCAGATGGCTCTTTCTTGAATTTGAGGTCAGCCTGGTCTACACATCCATTTTCAGAACAGCCAAGGTTACATAGTAAAGATCCTGTCTCTAAATAAATAAATAAATAAATCGGGATGTGATGTGACAAATAATCCCTGCAACTCATGACTCCATAAAATCTGGCCAGGCATGGTAGCTCATGTCTGTACTGAATTTGGCTACACATTTGCCACTCAGATTTTATGTCAAAGAACTATCTCATTGACTCTTCCTCCTTCCACTTCTGCAGATTTGTTCTGCTGCATCATGTGAGACTAACTACCCACGCACTTCCCTGTGCAGTAATTTCATTGTGCCCCATAGGTTTTGGCATGCTGGTTTGTTTTCATTCAACTTTAGTAACCTTTACATTTTCAATGACTCAACATTCAAATGTTATTCACTCTCCAGTTTGCATAGTAGATTCTACAGTTTTCATTGATTTCTAGCTTTATTCCACCATAGCCGGAGAGAATACAAGAAATAATTCATACATGGTAGATTGAGAGCATTGGCTGACTCTCCTCCTGACTTGGGAATTACTTTAGTAATTTCTCTGTGGACTCATGTAGTAAAGTCTGGCCTTCAATTCACTGCGTAGCTGAAACTGGCCTTTGATTTACCAAATCTGCTTGGAAATGCTCATGAAGGGCTGGAGATTTTGCAGAATTTGTTCTTACAGAGGACCTGATTTCTGGCAACCACATGGGACCTCACAACTGCCTTTAACTCCAGTTCCAAGGGATGAGTGGGACTCCTTCAGGCTTCTCTGAGAACAGAGACTTACCTGCTAAATGTACATTGAGGAGTGTAGCCCGAGTTACTTGTCCCACACACTAATTACAAAACTGTTGGCTGATGGCTAGGGCTTCTTATTGACTAGCTGTCTTAACCCCTAACTACTTTTTGGGGTTTTTTGTTTGTTTTTGTTTTTTCCAGACAGGGTTTCTCTGTATTGTTTTGGAGGCTGTCCTGGAACTCGCTCTGTAGACCAGGCTTGGCCTCAAACTCACAGAGATCCGCCTGCCTCTGCCTCCCAAGTGCTGGGATTAAAGGCGTGCGCCAACAGTGCCCGGCTTTTTGTTTTCCAAGACAGAAGTTTCTCTGTAGCTTTGGAAGCTGTCCTGGAACTCGCTCTGTAGACCAGGCTGGTCTTGAGGTCCGCCTGCTCCACCTCCCGAGTGCTGGGATTAAAGGCGTGCTCTAGACCTTTTCTTACCAGAGAACGACTAGCACATCCTATCCTCCCAGTCTCTACGTTGTGTCTCCTGAGGTCTCTTCCCTGCCTACCTTTCCCAGAATTCTCGTCTCCTAGTCCCACCTATCTTCCTGCCTCTATTAGCCAGTGCTTTATTCATCAACCAGTAAGAGAAACATATATACAGAAGGATATTTCCAATCAGGAGATGCATCCATTCACATAAAACTTAAAAAACTAATTTAGCTGGGCAATGGTAGCATATGCCTTTAATCCCAGGAAAGCAGAGGCAGATTTCCTAGTTTAAGGCCAGCCTGAGTTACGGATCCAGTTCCATCCCTAACAGCCAGGAGTACAGAAACCGTCTTGAAAACAACAAAAAATGTTAATGCTCATGAATCTTTTTAAGTTTGCTCGATACATGGAGTCACACTGTGGTCAATGGCCAGTCTTGGGGTAGAGCCTGATAGTGCTGCCCAGTTTGCAAGGTCCAGGTTTTATCCTCAGCCCCACCCATACCTGTAGCATTCATGTGTACTCCCAACACCTGGGAGGCAATAAATTCAAAGTCATCCACAGCTGAATTCCCAGGTCAGCCCGAGTAACATGAGACGCAACCTCACAACAAAACTGAACAAAATTTGACATTACTTCAATCTAATAGACTGCTTGGTGGCCACCTCAAAGAAGTACCAGGCTCATGGGGCCAGGGGTGAATGTCCTCAGAGGTTTGTTTGTTGTTGTTTTGTTTTTGAGGGGGAGGGTGCAGGTAAGGGTTCCTCTGTATAGTCCTGGCTGTCCTAGAACTCACTCTAAACCAGGTTGACTTCAAACTCCAAACACCTGCCTACCTCTGCCTCCCTAGTGCTGAGAGATTAAAGGCACACACTACCACTGCCCGGCCTGTTTTGATTTTTTAAAGATTCACTATTTTTTAAAAAATCATGAGCTGGGCATTGGTGGCGCATGCCTTTAATCCCAGCACTTGGGAGGCAGAGGCAGACGGATCTCTGTGAGTTCGAGACCAGTCTGGTCTAAGAGCAAGTGCCAGGATAGGCTCCAAAGCTACACAGAGAAACCCTGTCTCGAGAACCAAAAAAATAAATGACCATATATATCACATGTTTGCTGATGCTCGTGGAGGCCAGGTGTCAGTCAGATCTTGTGGAACTAGAATTACAAGCAATGGTGGGTGACCAGATATGGTTCACAGCATGTGCTCTTAATCAGTGGGCCATTTTTCTAGCCCTTGTCCACTGAAGTTTCACAAGATCAAGTCCATGAGTCAGATAGACATTAGTGTTAAGTGCAGTAACACTGTGAGCACCCACATTAGAGCTTTGTGACTTTGATTTGGGCATTAAGTGTCTAGAAACGGTATGCTGGATATAAAGCCATCAATAATCTAAAAACCCCTTTATAGAAAAGGAATTCGCTAAATTTATTATTTCAACTGCTGGCATGTCCTGGAGATAAACTAAAATCTGGTCATGTGCATGCTTGTAAATCCTAACAATTTGGGAGGGTGGATTACTAGTCTGCGTGAATTGACCTTGTATAATAATCATGGTCCTCTCTTTAAAAAACAAAACGTACAGGGTGCAGTGGTGCGTCTCTTTAATACCAGCACTTCGGAGGTAGAGGCAGGTGGAACTCTGAGTTCGAGAATAACCAGATCTACAAAGCAAGTCCCAGGACAGCCAGTGCTACACAGGAGAAACTCTTGTCTTGAACCAAAATTATGAAGACTAGGCATCAACATCCACTAAACTACACCATAGTAGTAGAGAACTCTGGGGAGTGTTTTGTAATCAAGAACATTTCTTTCAACTCGAACTGCAGAAGGTATGTTTTCTGACATGGGATATTCCCAGCCGCACCATGCTACCCTTGCAGACAGTCAACATTGCTCACTGTCGCACCTATGGAACAGCAAAACCGGATACACCTTAGGAACTCAGGCATTCAGCAGTGTTAAAGGAAACCAAAGTATCCACACACACTACCACATACACTGCCTCTGAACAAACTATGCACATATTCTAGATCTTTCTGGTAAGGGTGATAGTAACAAGGAATTCAATTACTGTTCTTGCCACTAGCTTTTGCAGAGAGGAAATGTAATTTTATTTTAGACCTAAGAGAATTATTTTGACACTCTGAACTTTATCTGGTTGTACAACTCAAAATTACACAACAGAAAATGATCCATAGCTACACCTGTGTAAAATATGATTGTTGTACTTTAATGATAAACTTAAACATAAATATTGTGCTGCTAACTGGTTTGAAGGACAGGACATGTAATCTACTGATTTGGTTGTTCAACACATTACAAACACTTTCCCCATGCCCCAAATACAATCACTGAGAAACAAATGATTTGTGTAAGATAAAATAGGGAATATTTTCACATTCAGACAAACAATGCTGTCAAATATGTTTGGACTAGAGATTTTATTTTAGAAGTATAAAGGATGGAGGCGTAATATATTTGGCATTTTTAATTTAGGTTTGTTTTATTTAAGTTTAATGTTAATTCCATGCTGTGTTTCAGTAAGAACAATACAGAGTCTGTATCTGTGGCTCCAGTCAGATATCCAGTAGTACAAATTAGCTTCAAGTTACACATACTGAACAAAAGAGGTTGAGCGAGCGAAGGAGGAGGGAAGGAGGCTGAGGAGCAAGGGAGGAGTAAGAGAGTGGAACACGCATGCAGGCTTCCATACCACCTTCAATGCTAACCTGCGTCAGAGGGGGAGGAGTCGGCAAGAATGAGCAGCCACGGATTGTTGAACTGTTACCAGCACCACGCTTTTCAGCAACACTTCAGCAGAGTTCCAAACACATTTTACAGCAAAACCATTACAACAAGCTCCCCCAAAACACCTCAAGCTAACACCCAATTAAGTTTAAACATTGGTATAAAATTCAATTTAAACAAAAAAAGGAAAAATGACAGCACATATGCCTCTATCATGTGATTAATCTTTCTTAGATGCTATCACCTAGAAGTCTAATGGCTTTCAAATGTCATTTCCATTTCTAATGATGATCTTGCCACATGTGGCTGGAGACAATACAGTAATGCTGAAAAAGCCTCTATGCAGTCCTGTTAGTGTTGTAAAGAACCTAAAAGCTGGGACCAGTAAAATCCACAGAAATTCACTCTTGCCTTTAAGAACTTCTGAAAACTGTTTGTTTGTTTTAAAAAAAGGGAGAGGGGAGAGAAAAAGAAAACGAAAGAAAAACAACAGGGCAGGAACCTAAATTCTGAGACCAAATGTGAAAGTCAAATTTGGTGGTTCTCAGTGACAATGGGACACTTCCAGGGGGGAGGGTGAGGGGAGGGTGATCAGAGATGTGTTCTCTTGTTGGCTTTATTATGTCTCACTG